TATATATATATATATATATATATATATATATAGATATTTTTTGATGACCTATACAGATATAATATTTTTTGGTTTACGCCTTTGGTGCAGTAAAATTCTACAGACTTATCATTAGGTAGCCCCTTAAGAGCTCAGTATATACAGTTATGTGAATCACTCGGTCGATGGATCGCTCAGTAGACGTTAGCTCGCGCCTAGTAGTGGTAACGCGATTGCCCCATGTCGGAAGCGTCCTCTCCCTCCTCCTCTTCATCGCTGGTCGAAGGCGGTGTCTCCAAATTGGCCACATCCAAGTCGAGGTAGTCCTCCTTGGTTTGCAGCAGCTTATCCATGTACTCGACGATCTCCGTGAAGGGCGGCCGGGCACTGGCATCGAAGTGCCAGCACTGCCGCATCAGGATATAAATGTTCATCGAGCACTTCGCCGGCTTCTCCATGCGCTGTCCCGACATCAGGTAGCTGTAAAGCTCCTCGGCGGACATGATGGCCGGGTACGGCTGGGCGCCGAATGTCATGATCTCCCACAGCAGAATACCGTACGACCAGACGTCGCTTTGCGAGTCGTAGAACTTCTCCTGCAGTGACTCGGGAGCCATCCACTTGATGGGCAGGCGTCCGTTGGTGTTCTTTCGGTAGTAGTCCGTGCTCTGTATGTCCCGCGCCAGTCCGAAGTCCGCAATCTTGAGCACGTAGTCGTCGCTAACCAGCACGTTGCGCGCCGCCAGATCGCGATGAATGCACCGACGCGATGCCAGGTAGTCCATGCCCCGAGCTATCTGATGGGCAAACTTGACCAGATCCTTCTCGGTGATCACATGCTGGGGCGGAAGCGGTACAGGCTGTCCGCTCTCCAACTGCTCCTTGCTCAGGGGCCGGTTCTTGTACAGGAAGTCCTTCAAGTTGCCGTGCGGGGCGTACTCGACGATCACGTAGAGCGGACCGTTCTGGCTGCAGCAGCCGAGCAGATTGATTATATTGATGTGCCGGCCGATGATCTTCATGACTTCCATTTCACGCACCAGGCTGGCGATGTCGTCATCCGTGTGGCCCTCCTTGACCATCTTTACGGCCACTATAGCGTTGTTCACCTCAGCCATTACCACGCGCCCGAAGGCGCCCTCCCCCAACGTTGCGCCCAGTACCAATTGGCTGCGCGGTAGCTCCCAATTGGAGTCCAATGGGAACTCGTACTCGTTGAAAGGCGCCGGCTCGTTTCCGCTTTGGAGCACGGTGGTGCGCTGCTTCTCAATTCGCACCACTGGCATTATCATGGTGTCCATGGAGCCACTCGAGTCGCCTCCGCTAGCCGGCTTGTAGATGATCACCTTCTTGGTCCACTGATGCACCGTCTCGATGCGCTGCTTGAGCAGTTTCTCGTGCTTCATCTTCCGCACCGCATAGGCCACGAAGATGATGCAAATTATGATCAGCATCAGGGTCACCGAGATGAACACGGCCAGCATGTGGTTGTCGGCCAACGCGCTGCCCAGGTTCGCCTCTAGCAGCTGCAGGCTGCGTACTACCCGCAAGTAGGCATGACTCATGGACTGGCCCAGGCTATTGCTCTCGACGCAGGTGTACCAGCCCTCCTCCTCCTGCGTCACATTCACGAAGTCCAGCCGGTCCACGTCCTCGGTCAGGACCGTGCGGTTCTTGGAGCAATCGTTCACGCTCTTACAAGGCTGGAAAAGCCAGGCCTTGCGGCTAGTCAGGTCCGACAGATAATTGCACTCCATGTGGCCGCTCTGGTTGATCAGGAGCGTGAGGTTTGCGGGCCCCTTGAGCAGGATAGGCTTGTGGTTCACCCGGTCTTTGACCATTACGTTCATCACGTGGGTGAGACATCCCAGGGCATTGCACACCACGCACGTGTACTGATCCGAGTCCTCGGGCACCAGATCCTCCATGATGATGTGCCACTTGGTCTTGCGGTAGTTGCCGTAGGTGCGCGTCAGGTCGTCGCTGCCGTTCCTGTACCACGTGATGTTCGGCTCCGGATGGCCCACGGCCTGGCAGCTCAGCGAGAGCGTTGAGCCCGAGGGCCGAATGTAAACAGTGCTCATCTTCTTGGGGTTCTTGAAGCGCGGCGCGAACTGCTGCTTGGCATCCGGGCTGGCACCTGAGCCGGTGATCGAGCCAGTCGTGCCCACCTTCTCGTCCTCATCCGCATCTTCGTCCTCCTCTGCATTGGCGTTGCTCTGTGTGTGCACCGTGTCGCTGGTCACGTTGCCCTGCGGCACATCGTAGTCCCTGCTCAACTCCTGCGAGCTGGCTGCAGGCGCTCGCCGCGCCGTCGCCAGCGAGCTACACAGCAGCAGCAGGCAGATCAGGCTGGTGGACATGCTTTGGCTGCTTCTAATGCTGGCAACGCGTCGCCAGCAACTGCCTCTGCTCTCTCTCTCCCTCTCTCTCTCTCTCTCTATATATATATATATATATATATATACTCTGTGTACCGAGTGTTGCTCTTGATGCTTCTTGTTGCTGCTGTATTCACCGGAAATCCACTTTAGCTGAGAGATGGCTCACTCTCACTCTCGCACTCTCTGTGTTTATCTGTCTCTCTTGCCACCCTCGCACAGATGAGAGATCACTGATCTGTCTAGATGTTTTTTTTTCTAATTTATGATGGAAATAACAACAGTTGCTGCTGGCCTTATTTGATCGCCAGCAACATGTGTGCGCTCAGATGCGGCGACTTTGAAGTGCTATTCGTCAGAGTCGGGAATAGAAATCCGAGTCGGAATCGGATGCTGATTGTCGATGATCACCTTGCAATGTATCGGAAATACACTTCCCCAAAATAGACATGTGTATGTACTCATGGGTCTCTTAATTACTGTCGCTCGCTCAGGCGCTGTTTGATTTATTCAGTCCGTTGATGAATTTATGGCAGCCATGCCGGCGACATCTCACTCTGATCCAGCTGGTGGGCGTGGTGCGAGTCATAGATCACAGATGGGAATAGCTGCAATACCTGAAAGAAATGCAAACGATTAGATTTATGCGCATTTCCGTTACGAGTAAGGGCAAAAGGGGTCGTCGAGAACAGGAAGAACACCCTAGAAACCGCAAGCAAGTGCAGTACTTGGCCTTAATATTCTTATATTTGTGAAGGGTCAGAGAGACATTTATGCTAGGAGATAAAAAACAGAGAGAGGAAACCAAACTGCAGCGAGAGCAGAAAAAGTTCCGGGCAAAAGCGAATTTCCTACTTTTCACGTAAATTTTGAATTGAATATCTCACCGGATGAAAAAGCCCATATATGTATATAAAATTTGGCTTTTCCTCAATTTTCTTTCATTTGCTTTTTATACCCTGAACCCATTGAAAATGGGAAATCAGGGTATAATGTTTTTGTG